ATAATATTTATATTTAGTTTACAAAATATTAATAAAAATAATAAATATAATATAGTTGAAATACCTATATGGAATATATTGAAAAATACAAGAAGCTATATCGGTTTATCGTGTGCGATAAAAATAGATGTCGACATATCGATATCAATTTAAGCCACGATAATTTCGGTGAGCTATATTAAATTTCTCTTGTAAGTAAGTAAAACAGTAACGAGTTTCGCAGAGCAAAAGAGAGATTATTACGAGCATTCAATTTCGCAGATACTTAGATTGGCTAATCCTTCAGGAAGCAAATTTAAAAAAATCCACTTTCGTCATACGAATATATAGTATTACAGTAAAGAACAAGATCCGTTAACAGATTGCTTTTTCCGCCCGACGGCTGGACGCTAAACGGGAGAATAATTTTCATGCGAGAGCGACGAAGGAGAAAGGGAGCAGGAAGTTCGTGGAAACGCACACGCGGCCTCAACGCGGAGGCGGAGGACCGTCTACGAGAGCGAGAGCCGAGCGAGAGAGCTTAAAGGAGATAGCCGGTAAAGATCCTCACGGCATAGGACGTCGCGTGATACATCGCTCGACGGCCGTCGCGCTGTCTCGCGTCCGCGGCAATCTTGTCACATCGCACCTGGCCAAGAGAGCTCCCATTCCCAGAAATGCGCACGTGCAGCGTTTTTTCGCGATACCAAACGGATGAATCGAATTCCTTTTGTTCTCTTTTTCTTCGATGGAAGAACGACTCAATTGCTTTTTGTATCTTTTACTAGATTGCTTTCTAGAAATCGAAGACGATGGTAAATAATCGAGTATTAAATATCTAAGAGATATACACTAATATAAATCTACTCGAAACAAGAGTGTTACATTAATGTTTTTCGTAATCATTGCCTTTTTTTATTAGATTATAAAGCATGAATGAGACACAGAATAATTTTAAGACACGAAATAAAATATTGAAAACTTTTATACTCAAGATCAATATCAGTTAGATATATTTAGTAGGTTTACATTAATTATTGCTATTAATTATTTTCCTGAATTATATGTAAGAAATTGTTAAACTATTTGAACGATATGCAATATCCCCATTAATTTTTTAAAATCTTTTCATTCTAACAATAAGAAAAGATTACTCGAACAATTAATACATTTAAAAAAATTTAAACGTATGTATATTGGACTCAAATACTAATGTATGTTCAATTAATAAAATAATAATTTAATTAAAAGATTTAGTCAAGTTAACATTTTTTTCAATGTAAGTAGCTGACAATATTAAGACTGAAAAATATACAAAGATATAAAATATAGAGAATTCAAAGATTAATTATGCATTTTTTACATTCCAATTTCTCATCATAGACATTCAGAAAATGATATTTCGTTTCAATAGACGAGAAATATTTTATTTCTCACCCAATATTATCCATATAGCGTAAAGAATATAATAATAATTTACCATAAGCTTCTACTACGCATTCATCACAGATTCTCTTGCTACCTTCATATTTTTCGACTATATATATTTATAAAACCACCTAAGAAAGAAAGACACCCATCATATTATAAAACTTATACTAATAAAAATCGACAGTCGTGAAATATGTTAGCTCCTAAAACCTCTAAAGCATGCAACAGTTTAAGAAGAAGCCTCGTCAAGAACTGTCAAGTTTGTTTACGCATTAGGAAATGCCCACGACTTAACCCTTTCAAGAATCTTGTCATAATCCTAATGCTTGCCCTAAGGAATGTTTAACATTCTACTTAGCGATTATCCGTTTCAAATACAATGCTTTCTATCTGTTTCCGATTTTCCTAGCAGATAGGTATAAGAAAAATTACTCGTAAAATTCTCACGATGTTAAAAAGTCCCGTGTTAAAACGCTTGACTGTAGAAAGCTAGAAAACTATAGAATTAAAATATAGAATATGTAGAATTCTGTCATATTTTGAAAGTGACATATATTTATCAAAGACATTAAATCGATCAAATAAATTGGATAATCTTTCTTGTTTTATTATAACAATTTATTACTGATTTATATAAGAAAGTTATATAAGAATAATATAAGAAACAAATTATATATATGACTTTCTATAAATCTTAAACAATGGAAAACGTTGACTTGGATGAATTAAGATTTACGGACGCCTAGAACAAAAAGATTCTAAAAGAGGAAGAAAAATTCTCTGCGGTGGGCACGACGCAAAGAGTTTCGTTCGGATTTCTCTTATTTTCGACTTGGTCGCACGACACGACAATGCTCTTAAATTCACCGTCTTGAACTGCGGACAACGCCATTATACCCAGAGAAACTTTCACGAAAAAATTCTACGAACGTGCCCGTAGAAATTAGGCCGGTCATTGTCGGTTCATTGAAAATTCACGGAAATCGAATCGGGATGTTACATTTGGCCGAGATTCGTGCGGTCTCTCGCATTGACGGAAAAACTCTCGCAATATCATTCACTGCGAGATTAAAGCAGAAAAATTCAGTGTAACGCCGAATCGAAAATTCAAAAAGTTTTTCACATATGCATATAAAAATTTAAGGTACATGCACGACATAACAATGCCCCGATTCTAAATCTGTTCAGTATCTAAATTTATCACTGTATCGAATAATTATATTTTAATCTAGAAGAAATTAACCAAAAAATAAATGTCATTCATTTAGAGAGTTCTGTTTGAACTTAAATTAAGTAAAATAAATTGGAGATTTAAATAACACACACTGAAATAAAATTTGTTAACTTAACTAAATCTTATTTTGTTAATTGAATATATAAAAAAATTTTAATTAAATATAAAATATTAAATCATATCATATAAATTTGACTTAAATACTAATATACATATGTTCAATTAATAAAATAGTATTGTTAGTTAAAAGATTTCGTCAAAATTAACAAATTTTTTTTTCAGTGCAGCAATTATGAGAAGCACATACTGAATTATTGTTATGGAGAAATCGACTTCGTATTCGTCAAAGAACCTGTCGTGAACAGAAATAGCGATAGTGACAGCTTGTATATGTGTGACACTATAGTATGTGCCACATGACACTAAATTTCCGCGATTTAGCACAAACTTTAAATGGGATCCGAGGTCGGTTCTACCATTTTATATATATATATACGCGCAGTGACATACGCGCCGGGATGTTTCGCATGATCGAGAGCCTTCGTGTTTTACGATCGCGCGATTTTATTTTTTTTCTGTCGCGCGTGGCGAGATCGTTTTCGTATTTCGCTATGTATTGTTGAGCGAGCTCGCGGAACGACAGACTGCGCGTGACAGGCGCCACGGCATAAACATCGATCTGCGAATATTACCGTGAAGGTGAAGCATTACTCGCGAAATGACTCTCGCGAGTCTGGCAAACTATTTGGTTGCCAGGTAAATCAGAAACTTTAACCGTTTACCTATCAAATCGGCAAGCGGCGGCGGACTGTTAACATGCTGTTTGCGTTCCTCGCGATACGATTGCGCACAATATTTTGTCCGATAAAATAGAAAAGATTTCGAATATAAAAATGTATAGATTTTTGGAGAATTGTCCACGGAAAAAAATTAGCTACTATAGCTTTTTAGCTGTCCCTCTAATACACATAAAATTTAGTTATCATGCCTAAATTTTAGCTAATATTTTTTAGCTGTAGCATTCTTCGCGTTAAACTATAGCTAAAAAATATTAGTTACCATATAGCTAAAAAGCATGATAACTAAAATTTAAGTTGTATTATATGAGCAGATAAAATTTTCCGTTGAATAACATGTATTGATATATCTTCTTTTAATAAAAGGAATAATATATATCGATATATCTTCTTTTGATAAAAAGAATATTGATATATCCTCTTTTGATAAAAAGAATGTTGATATTCTTTTGATAAAAAGAAGATATATCAATATGTTATTCAACAGATTTACAGTTTGACTTTTGTGTTATTTTCTTAATAAGCATTAATGTTTCGCTACCAATTCGCTCTGTTTGTGTAAACACAGTTCTCGATTATTTGTATAAACATAACTCGAACTCTGTTTCTAAAAGGTCACCCCGTAACTATAAATGTAATCAATAAATATATCAATTTTGCGACAAGAACATCTCGTTTCAAAAATTTAAATTATAACGATGAAAAAATTATTTGTTTCATTTAGACAAAACGAAATAAAAATGTAAAGAAAAAAGATATGTATTTTTATATAAATATATGTATAAATATAGTATAATTTATTACGTATAAAATATTCCTTTAAATATGTATATATATCACGCAAGTAATTATTATCGCATAAAATTCTATATTTTTGAACAACTTTTAATGATGTACTTTAATAAAGAAGCAAAACATTATTCAAAGCAAAAATTTTTCAACGCTGCGTTAAAAAACATCCATAGAGAGAAACGCTTAAAAAATATTTCTTTAAATTATTCTTAAGAATTCCTTTTCTTTCAGAAAAGTCTTATCTCGAGTTACCGTGAAATAACATCGACAGATTTACATCGTTCGATTTCTAGAATTTTCGTCGTTTCGGTGACTTATCTGGAAACTCTATTTATCGCTATCATGTGTCAGACTAGTGACTCGTTTTACGAAACTCAGATTGACAATGTAACAAATGTCAGAGAATCCCAACGATTTATGTCAGACAAAAGTTGGTCTATTGTGTCGACGAATCGAAAAATTGTACCAATCTTTAGCAGACGAGCAAAATGGCAAACAATTCTTGTTCGATCAAAATAATCAATTTATCAAACTAAACTCCTATATCAATCTAAATTTTCGTAATCGCGATGAATTAAAAAAAATTCCAAATTTTCCGATAAATATGTCACGGAAAATTACTAATCACACCATTCTATTTCAACAATGCTCCGAGACTATCTAATTTCCCTTTTCAGACGTATTATTCGGAATTTTGTTTACCCTTGTCTCGTCGATATCTACAAGATAAAAGATTTGTCATTTCCGTGAAGAGAGGAAAGACTCACCACTTGGAAGTATAGACGACGGCGAGATGCCTCGACGATTTTGATGAGCGTCGCGACGCGTCGTCTCGAGAAACGACAATCCTTCTCTTTCTCTCGTTATATACACTCGCGTCGTTAAGAACTTCCCTCCTATCCACCGTCCTGGCGATCACACACTTCCGCCACTGTCACTCACTCACTTTACGACCTCCTCGATTACGCCCTTCTATATAACCGGAGCCGATAACTCTCTCTCCGCGACGAGTCGATGATTGACAAGCATTCGCGCCTCGCTTCTTTTCAATCTGTTTATCCGCGCTTCAGTCTGTTCGTCGTTCACGACACTCCAAAAGTTGCGTCACGATTTGAAGCAAACGTCACACTATTCATCGATGAAAAAAATTTCGTCGATGTCGAAAAAAAAAAAAACTTGGTTTCTCCCGCGCGACGAAAGAGATTGCGCGGATGATCAAAGACGTCGAAAGTACCACTCAATGAGAACGATCGTATTCTAATTCGCGAGAACCTCTTTTCTCTCGTCACTTTTCTAAACGATCGAAATTTCAACCGGCTTTTCGCTCGACAAGGAGACGCGCACGAACGCCAGCCAACCGCGCGCCACGGTACCAGCCTGTGAACTGAAGCGCCAGCGCGACCTGCAGCTAGGTTCCGACTGGTTCCTTCAGCCTCCCCACTTTCTCGTCCCCACCAGATCACCGAGCGCGCGCGACTCCGTTCGAGAGGGAGAGAGAGAATGTTTTCCCCATCCTTCTCGTTCTTACCCCCTTCGCGAATCTGTCTCCTTTTTCTCTCTTTCTTCACGAACTTTTTTTTATCGCCCTCTCTTTCTCATTTTTGTCCTTATTCCACTCGCATTCCAACCGTGGTCAGTTTCTCTCCCTATGACTGCCCTGTCCTTCCCTATTCCATGTTCCGACTGCCTAACACCGACCCTTCACGTACGAACGACCACCCCCAGACTCTTCTCCGACACAGAGGGCACACGATCAACCTCTTTCATCTTTCCGTCTCTCTCATTCTTCTCCGAGAAGCCGCGAGGTGCACCCTTCGCCAAGGACTTTCCGGATCTCCCACACATTCTCTCTCCTTTCCCATCCCTCGTTCGCGTCCTAACCAGCCGTTCCTTTCAGAAATATTTCGACGTCCGCGCGCATGTACATCCTTGCACCTGACTCCTCTCCGTCGAGTTTTCCTCGGCCCGAGGAAGCGCGCCGGCCAATCCCGGGCACATGTTCGACACTTCCACTCGTGCCATTCTTCTCGGATCAGAAAGGGGGAAATCTCTTTATCATACTCGCGAGCAAGCGGGCTCTACGTCCTCAAAGAGAATGATGTTACTCTCTTTTTTTTTTTTCTTTTTCCTTTGACTATTAGATTTCAAACGTATGACGCTCAGAATCGAAATTTCCACCGAACGAAGCTATAAGCCCAGTCATTTTCACGGTTTATCGATGCAAAACGCGGTTGAATAATGAAAGCCCGATCATAGATTGCGCGATAATAAATGATGAACATTTTCAGGCGAAGCTGGGATTATTTAAAAATAATCAAGTGTGTCAAAAGAAATATTCTGACCTCAGGTAATTATTAATTTAATGACGTTATAATGACTAATTTTTCTGTTCTTTATTATATTGCGTTTGTTCGTAACACTAATGTTAATTTTACTAATCATGGTCATTGTAGGACAATATGGTTTGGAAACGTTTTATAAGAGTTTCTTTGGTTAATATTTACACCATAATAAAAAATATAAAGTAATATGTACAAATTTTCCAATTAATCAAACATATCTTATATCTTATTGTATATAGATATTAATATTTTTTGTGATAAATATTAATCGGACAAATGATCTCTTATAAAATTATCTCTTATATGAAATATTCTAGAGTACGTAAAGAGACCTTGATATTAAAGGGCAAGAGATGCACGAGTAGTAGAGAAACGGTGATCGAATTGATGAGAAACGTTTTAATTATTAATATACTAAATTACAATTCAATATGTTATTGCTTACGAATAGACTATCGTATAGTACAGATGACCATCTCATATAACAATTTTATATATGCTATTTATTTCGTTTTTAAAAAACTATAAATATAAACAAAATAGAATTTTCTTCATGCGAATATATTTTTCATGAGTTATTTCATAGAAATAGATTACAATGTATTGAAAATTTAAATATCATTGAATTTTAAATATGCATATTGATTTCTCCTTCAAGTACGTGACTTAAATCAATGTACATATATGAAATATAGTCGATTCTATTTACCGGACATAAATTTACTAACGCACGATACACGAGATATTTCAATTTTGCTGATGTCGCTGCTAATGTAATTATGCAGATAGATAGATGAATATGCTTTAGATGCTTGAAATATATATGACAGGTACTGAGAATGTATACTGAAAGCATGAGATAGCACCGGCGATGACTAATGACGCCTATTTCGCGATACTTTTGCTCATATGACAGCTCACTCTTATGACATGCGCGCGGTATCTCAAAGTAAAAGGATCTACATATTCAATTAATTATCGGTTAATTGTGGTCGGCGCAATGCGGGTATCACTATGGTATCGCCATGGTGGAAATTAGCGTAACCTCGTGAAGCATGAGAACTCGTCGCGCGTATCGAATTTATGCGTGTTGCCCGCAGTGGAAATGGAAATGTCACTCGCATCGACGCCATTCAGCGAATGGGAGAGCTATGTGAAAAGTGTCTTGCAAATAGTGGTGATGTAATTACGAAATCGTACCAAAATTCACACCGCAAATATGCAGTAATCCCCGGGAGGACTCTGCAGTTTTCATCATAATGAAAGGAATTTATAAGCAGCTTCGCAAATTAATCTAGTTTTATTGAAATTTTCATATATTGAGCTTAAATCAATTTTCCATGATGCGAAAATTTCTCTCGGTTCGAACAGAATTGTAATTTTTATTTTACAATAACAATTCGTTTTATTTTTTTTTTCAACGGTAATATAATGAACAATACGATAAAAAAACATAAAATATTAACTATTGCAAAATAGAGAAATCATACCTGTACGTCTACACAGAGAGAATTTTCTCTTAGAATTTATCCTATGAAAATCATGATAATTGTCGAATATGATATTAAGAAGAATTTTATAAGAGATCTTATATCATTTTATAAGAGATTTTCCGTGTATTGGAAAAGTCTCCTCCTAAGCCCATCAAATTTCGCGCTGCCGCAAGCAAAAAAAAGCATGCAGAATTTAATTCTTGCCCCCTTGGCTTGAGTACACTCGCTCTTGAAAATTGGATTTTTTTAATGAAACCTTATTCGCCTGGAAGCAGCAGCAGCCGAAGATTAAGTTTCCCGGTAGACAATAACGGTACTTGCCTTTAACGGCTCCTAGAAACGTATTGCAATTATGCTTCATATACGCGCGAGAAATTATTTAACCTCAGTATTTTGACATTTGTAATATACAATATATGGAACATAGAATATCAATAATATCGTTTATATATATAATAATAAATATATAATAAATTCCGATTATACATACTTGACTATGTTTAAAGTTTCACGATAATGCCATCCCCGATTCTAATCTCATATATCATTGCGATTATTAATAATATAATATTGCAAATATTATTTAACTTGTCATACTAATATAGCCATAACACGGTTGAATTATTTATGATGATATATTGGACACCATACAATTTTTAAGCGCGCATAATTGAATACACATCAAAGTGTCAAAGTTGTTTAATACAGACATCTTTTTTTAACAGATAACTAAAATTTTCAGACCGCGACGACACATATTCTCGGAAATATATATATATAGCTACAAATATGTCACTTTAACAAGTCTTACATTAGTCTAATAGAGAATGACATTTCAAATATGCATAAAATAAAATGGTGACAAAAGTACTAATCTTGGCATTCTGAAGTGACAATAAAATGCATTTTATAAATTAGAGAATTAGAGTTAATATTGCGAATTAATTTTGAATAATATTAACTTACAGAAAGAAAATAATAAATAAAAAAACATACATAAATTCAATATTTTTCATAAAAGTTTATAAAACTTGAGCTTATTGCAACTTTCTACTTTCGCTTTTACAGCACAGGATTACCAAAGTGCTACCCTTGAGCATATATAAACGCGTTCTGTAATAATCGTAATTTATATCTGTTCCATAATTCATAATTTATGAGGCTTAAAATTTTCATAAGTCGCAAATAAGTATTAGTGCAAATACCTAAGGAACGACTGGTCGCACTCGCGCGCGCTTTAAATGCGGCAATACAAAACGAACATGTGTTTGCAGGATTCTAAAGATTTTATCGTCTTTCTCCGCGCGAGCCATGATTATATACATCGTAAAAATAGCAATTTAATGCAGCATTCTACGTCGTGGAATGTTCCCACTCTAATTTAAGAAATGCAAAATTATATTTAATATTGTAGCTTTCAATGTAACGCGCCTTAATCGTATTTAGAAGAATAAAAAATTCGGTAATTATAGAAATTCTAAAGTTATGATACATGACGTTATCAAAAAAAACATTAAATTTGTGTGCGCTTTTTATTTATTATCTTCTCCGTAAATTAATATCCCTAAAAATTAATTGGCGGGTCAATATTGCCTCTAAAATATGTTTTTTTATCTCTTTAATATATGTACAGGTATAATACATTTTATTCTCGCTAATAAAATTCGCACTTCGTAAAAATATCGATTGTTTATTTTCACACGCGGCAGTGTATTAATTTACAAATATCCCACACAGTCTGAATAGATACGCATCGTCGTGAGCACTCTATCAATTCATTATACTATATCCCGGAACAAACAAATTTTGCAAATCCCGAGAGGGCTGTCATACTGCCATCGATCATATTTGCGCACCAACCAGCATGTCTGGCCTCGAAAAAAAAAGTTGAGAACGTTAACGACTTATACACTAATTATAGAGACATAATGTCGCGTTTAACAACTGAGTTTCGAAAGCGACAGCATGTTCACGGGTTCCGCACTTGAGAGGATACACTTTTTTGTCATACTCTTTCAACTATTTTCGGTTGACCTTGCAACAGTCGTTTCATCTAGTTTTTTTTCTTGCCGTGATGACACGAGACAAACCCAGTTAGACCCCCATTACTCAGCAGGTAAGAATAAAGAGACTTCGGCTTCGAAAGTTTGAGAGCCATTAATCTCTAGTTGCGTCAATAATTTTTGGATGGCTGTTGAAAGGTCAGTGTGTTTTTCATCTGCATTAGCGGAGGAGGTTGAATGGGATGATTGTTACGACCCGGAACGAAAACTTACTTTTTATTGTAGTTCATAGTAATTCTGTAGCACGACAATATATAATGAGACCACCCTGCGTAAACGTGTTACGACGATATAATCGACAAATTGGTAAATTCTTTATGCAATCAATTTTTCCTCGACAAAAACATGTGTGTATGTTGATTTTTGAAATATAGATACATAGTTTTGAAATTTTATAAGTAATTTGAAACACAAGTTATAAACAGAAACTCCAAAAATGCAAATAGATAATCTTCATTCAATTTATGGGTACAAATCTTACTTTAACA